GTTCCTCCTGAGGTTTTCAAAGGCAACAGACATGTAGCAGATTCACAGGTGTCAGCCAAAGTATGTGCCTCAGAGACACCTGAAAATACTCTAGTAGTGACTCTACAAGTGACAGACCCTGACCAGTTCCTTTCACTCCTGAGCTGTCAGATCCTGCTGCTCTCCTTTTAGGGCAGCATACTAACATTTTATTATAATCCTCTTTGCTGGCAGGGCCCCTTCTGCTTCCTCTCCAAAACTCCTTTTCCTAAAAACTATTATTTTGAAATTATCTCCAATGGTAATAAATATTGTTATGTGAAGAAACATAAAATGTATTCATAAAAATTAGGCTTGTGGGCCAGGCATGGTGGTGCATACTTTTAATCCCAGCACTCAGGAGGCAGAGGCAGGCAGATCTCTGTGAGTTCAAGGCTAGCCTGATCTACAGAGCCAGTTACAGCCCAGTCAAGGATAAACAGTAAGGCCCTATCCCACAGGAGAGAGAAACAGAAGAAAAATTTAAGCTCATCAGTTAAAAGAACTTGTAGAGGACCTGGGTTTAATTCCCAGCACCAACATGGCAGCTCCCAAACATCTGTAACTCCAGTTGCAGGGGATCCAATACCCTCTTTTGGCCTTTGTAGGCAATTGTACACATATGGTGCACAGATATATATCCAGGGAAAACACTCATATACACACACAGAAAAAAATAAAATCACAAAAAAAAATTTAATTAAAAACATTTAGGCTTTCACTTACTATATGGGCTGTGTACTTCATAGCAGGAAGGGCCACTATAAACCATGTCGATTCCTTCCTCTTGAGATTAGAATTAAATTATGCATAGGTCCATAATTAGAATTACACATACACCAGCCAAATTCTCACAGGACATTAAATCCTATAAGGTATACCATCATTTTTGACAATCGATTGAGCTGTACATTCACCCTACTCACCACAGGGCTGTAGAGAGGCAGGAGGCTCTGAAATGCACAGGAATATTTCTTTTTACTTAACTGGCCCTCCTTCAGTCCCTTAGCCATGGTTTCCTACGACAAACAAAAGAAAATGTAATAGCAGAAAAGGAAAATGTCATCTAGCAAAAAGATCAACATTAGTATATACAATCACAACTGGCCCCATCAGCACTTCAAACGCCCTGCACTGAGCTGCCATGAAGAGCCTCGTGTACCTTCACACAGCTAATCTCAGTGAAGGACACTACTCATCTAGCTGCCTGAGTGGGAAGCCGAGACACAGGGCCACTAGGCCTGTTTTCCTGCTGACTCCTCCCACACACCTATCATGTCAGGCCTCCCTCCCTCCTTTAGGCTCTCATTTCCAGACTATTCCTGTAGATCACCATCCTTGAGCCAATTCACTGGCCCCTGGCCTCTAGCCCTCAACTCCATCCCTTTATGCCTGTTGTTTTTGGAAGAATCTTTTCAGACTGATGCTATCACTTGTTTAAAAAAAGAAAGCTTTAGCTGCACCCCAGTTTCCTTGAGATTAACCCCAAATTCCTAGAAGTTTCATGACATGTCCTTGGGTCTTTAATCAACCCACCTTCCTGCTATCTTCTTTTAACTTAAAGTCAAAGGAACATATTTGTCATTTCCTCCCAAACCTAAAGCAATGACAAACAATCTAAAAAATATCTTAAGGTGAAATAAAAAAGATGCCGTGGTAGAATGAATGGGGCTGGCCCTCACAGGCTCATAGATGTGAATGCTCAGTCACCAGGGAGTGGCTCTATTTGACAGGATTAGGATTAGGAGATGTGGCATTGCAGAAGTAGGTGTGGCCTTGTTGAAAGAAATGTGTCACTGTGGGCTTTGAGGTTTCAAAAACCTATACCAGGTGCTGAGCATTGGTGGCACACACCTTTAATCCCAGCGCTAGGGAGGCAGAGTCAGGCAGATCTCTGTGAGTTCAAGGCCAGCCTGGTCTACAGAGCTACACAGAGAAACCCTGTCTCAAAAAATAAAAAAACAAAAAACAAAAAAACAAGCAAAACAAAACAAACCCCACAGAAGCAAAAACAAAAACAAGCCCCCCCCAAAAACCCCAAAAACTAAGAAACAAATCAAAACAAACAAACAAACAAAAAAAACCCTATACCAGGCCCAGTGTCTCCCTCTCTCTGCAGCTCAGGATGTAGCTTTCAGCTATTTCTCCAGCACCATGTCTGCCTGCTGCCATGTCCCCTTCATGATAATGGACTAGCCTCTGAAACTGTAAGCAAGTCCCCAATTGAATGCTTTCTTTTGTAAGAGTGGCCTTGGTCATGGCTCCTCTTCACAGCAACAAAATACTGACTAAGACATAAGTATCACCCAAAAAATCCATGTCAAAGTGAATCCATGAGGCTAGGGATGTAGCTCAATGGGGAAGCAATTGCCTAGCAGGTGAGAAGCCCTAGGTTTGACTTTAAGCATCACAAAACTGCAAAATTTTAAAACCAGATCTTTATAAAGAGGGAACAGGAAAATACACAAATATATGGAAAGATAATCCAGCCCACTAATAAAAAATGTAAATCAAAATAGGGCACAAATTTTCACCCATTGAATTCAATATAAAATTATAATATCCACTAATAAGAAACAAAACCAACATTTTCACACATCAGAAATTATCAATATAAATTTTAGTAATTTAGTCTGTTGATATGCCTATTGCATGTGTGCGTGCACACATACAAAACCAGTTACTTTAAGACTGCAAGTAATAACATAAAATTTTCCCACATTGAGTAAAGTAGTCCTATTACTTTTATGTATAAAAAAATAACAGGTAGAAGGAAGAATCAACTCTTTCCAGTTGTCCTCTGACTTCTACACATGTGCACCAGTCTCCATTTAAAACAAAAAACCAAAAGCAGGGCTGATGCTGCAGTTCAGAGGGATAGCACTGGCCTATCATCATACAAGACAGGAGAGGAGAAGGGAGGAGAAAAGTGGTACACTTTGCCTGGCCACTGAATCCTGGTCGTCTCTCCACCATGGACTGGGCTCTCAGTTGTATCGCAGCACAGCTGCCCCTTCCTTAGAAGTTATGTCAAGCAATCCATAATCCATACGTTTTATGGCCAGGCGGTGGTGCATGCCTCTGAACCCAGTACTGGGGAGGCAGAGGCAGCCAGATGCTTGTGAGTTCAAGACCAGCCTGGTCTACAATGTGATTTCCAAGACAGCCAAAGAAAAAAAAAAGAAACCCCCAATACTTGTTTCGTACCTTTGTTAATGCCTGAAAAATATTAGAAAGGAATTCACATGAAATATCCTTCAGGATCTTCATATGGAAGTCATCTTGAGTTGAACCACAGTTTGTAGGCTCTTCTGTAGAGTTTGCTAGTTTCTTCTGACAATGGCCCATATTTTGTAACACCCGAATTAGGCTGTCAATTAGTGGAAGATCCACTGCACCAAATCAAGAGAATGAAACCAGCCAGATAAGTATTCATTCATTTATCCATCTACTCACACTGAACTAGTGTTACCTATGCTTTAGGGACCATAGGTAGAGTGGTTTCTGCTTCTAGTTCCCACTTTGACTTCCACCAGTGATGGTCTGTAACCTATATGGTCAAATGTTTCCCCACATCCAAGATGGTTTTGGTCAGTGTTGTGTCATAGCCACACACAGAGCTGAAATAATCCACAGAGCTCCTCTGAAAGGCTTGAAGCAGGCAAGGAGAGAGAGAGCTAACTGTGAGAGGAGTTAACAAAGATGTCCATATTCTGCCCTAGCATAAAAACTACACCAAGTCTGGGAGGCACAGCAGGCAGCAGTAAGAACTAGTCCTGCAACAGCAACAAAAGGATGCTCCTGGCCCCACGCAGACGAGCTCCCCATGGGTTACTAGAAAGATAACACACACTAAAGCAGGGCAGTACTCACTGGCCAAACTGCATAAAAACCAAGAACAAGATAAACACATCTGCAGTAAGAGATAAGGACTCCCTCATTTTTTCACATCAAAGCAAGTCCAAGAATTCTCTGAGGTTTAGGAGATGAGCAGCTTAACAGCTGACACCATTACCTCGCTCTAGCTCCTGACTTAAACCGCCCCTCATCACCTCCACTTGGACACCCCTAGGTAGCACATTTAAAGCCAGTTGTCCTTATCTCAGTTAAGTGGCAGCTGCTTTGGACAAGTACACCAGAGATCCTTCCCTTTTACCCAGCCACTCTCCCAGTCTCTAAAATGAGCAGTCTGGTAGAATCCCGTGATCAAAGCCAGAGCACTGCTTGTCTTGAGCGCCACACAGCCTCTTCTTCCTCTTACCCACGGCTCTCTACATTTACTAGCCCATGGCCTTCCATAGCCAGCTCTATCTGTCCAACCTGTCCACGTCACATAGGTCCTGGCAGCTGCACTGCTTTTCTTCCTTTCTCTCATAGGCCACCCTCGCCATACAGAGCCTCACCCCTGCTCCTCCTACAGTGCCCAGTGCTTTTATGTGTGCTAGTCTCCATCAGTGTTTCCTCCCAAGTATTCACATGGCAGCCTCCACTAAGTCCCTCAGGCTTAGTGTACTCACAAGATCCTGAAGGATATTTCATGTGAATTCCTTTCTAATGTCAGTGAGGTAACTCTCCATAAGTACAGAATTGACACTCAGAAACAGTGCTTATTTACAAAACAAAACAAAACAAAACAAAACACTCAAAAAAAAAAACAACACCTTATGCCTCGTAATACTAAATGGTGAAACTCTAGCACCATTCCCCAGTCAGGAAGAAGACAAAGGAGTCTCCAGCAGTTATTTAAAACAGCAGACACTAAGCAATCCAATTAGATAAGAAAAAGAAGTCACAGATAGAAAAATGACACAAGCAGATGTGATTTAATAGCAGATAAAGTTCAAGATTATCATGGAACTACTACTAAGAACAATAACACAAAAGCTGGAGATGGCTCAGTGGTTAGGAGTACTGGCTACTCTTCCAGAGGACCTGGGTTCAAATCCCACCATCCATATGTTAGCTCACAGCCCTTTATAATCCCCATTCCAGGGCACCCAACAGCTTCTTCTTCTGATCTCCACAGGCACCAAGCATCTGGTGTACATGTGTGCATTTAGGCAAAACAGCCATACACATCAAATAAAATAAATAAATGAATAAATAAATAAATAAATAAATTTAAAAACAATACAACAGGAATGTGGATATAGTTTGGTGACAGAATTCCTACCTGCATGTGCAAGGCCCTGGATCCAACCCCAAGCACAGCAAAAACAAACTACAGACAAGTCAGTAAATAGAGATGCTACAATCAAAATTAACCAAAAATCCACAGCCTCCATGAAGTTCAACAATCATCAGTGGAATAAAGTATTTGACAGAGACAGCAATTCAAAAGATAAAATGTGTAGGAATAAACCTAGTAAGAATGCAAGATCTGTATGATAAAAAGCCTCAAGCCACTTCTGAAACAGGCCCACACAATGCATTCCTAGATGTGCCACATTGAACAAAATCCCAAGGAAAGTATCAGGAACCACATGGGGAGACATCCAACTGAAGAGAGACTGTCCGTCCTCTCTGGGAACTGAAACACATAACTCGATCTGCCGACTGATCCTGAGTACAACTCTAGGGAGTGTTCCTAATAAAAGCAGGGCGGCACCTCAGGGCAGAGACATGCTGTTTGGCACTGCTTTCTTTTTGGTGCTAGGGACTGAACCAGGGGGCACCAACTATTTGATGCCTTTTAATAAACTTTACAATATTTTTGTATTAAGCATTTAATATATTATGTTAGTAGGGGAATAAGGGTATTTTCTTTTTAAATGGGGAAAAACAAAAAAGAAGTCCAATGAAGAGTACACACTGGCCTGGCACTTGTAATCTGGTGGGTGCCAGTTTCATTTGTGAACGGAAAGTACACTTGCCTTCTTCTGTCTTCAGGTGTTCCTGTCCCATCCATGAAGCCCTGATGACAGACAGCACTGAGAAGACAGAGGCTAGCACTGTCTTCTGCTCCTGCAGTATGATGGGCGGGTCACCAGCTTGGCAGAATTCATGGCATACGAGGTCAAAAAGTAAATCCCACGTGTCTTTTCCAGTATCAGGACACTGCACTTAAGAAATATTTTTTAAAAGTAGCAATTTAAAAATAGTGAACACTTCAATCAGCAACTACAGTGTATTCTAAGAAACCAGCTTACCAATTGCTTGAACTCCGTCATCCACTGTGGTAAGTAGCTGTAAGATGTGCATGTAAACATCCAGCCCTTCCAGGTTTTCAGAACTGAGCAGACAGAAACGACAAAAGCACTCTTAACTTCCCTGTCTAGAGAACAGCAATCATTCATTCACTCAGCTGGTATTTATCACCTTGTCCTAAAGTGCAGAATGGGAACTGCCAACCGAAGATTCTGTCCACTAGCACTGACGTTCAACGGGGAGCACAGATGTGTGTGTCTACATGTGAATGTGTGAATGTATGAGAGGATGTGTGTGAGTATATATGTATGAGTGTATGTGTGTCAACCGATAGTGAGTGTGCACAGGTGTATGTAAATCTGTGTGTGAATGAGTGTGTGTACATGTGTTTAAATATATGTGACACTGATACTTCTATTGGAGGGATGAGAGGCCTACAGCATAGGCACCATGGCACTGATGTTCTTTAGACTTCATAGATCATCCTAGCTCCCTTGCTGAGAACACTAGGATCATAAAAACCTCATTCTTTTGCTCAACATTTTTATCCTTATACCTCAAAATGCTGTTTTTTCAACCAGACAATTAAGTGAAAAAAAAAAACTGAACAACTAGATGACTCAACTATGTTTACTTAAGTATCTGTCATTTCGGGGCACTTAATGCCAGGGGCTGGGAAGACAGAGTGTATGTATTAAAATGTTACACCCACCTTCACAGAGTGTAAGTCTGAGAGAAAAGAAGGTGATCAAAGGGGAAGTTAACCATAAAATGAAGTGAATTCAACACTAGAAGCCCAGGCACTAAAAGACCATACACAAGCCTTTCCGAGATCCACCCAGGAACTAGGTGAGTCTCTAGCCTTAACCAACTCCCGCCCAGAACATCACTCACCCAGACACCCCCCCCCCCCCCCCCCCCCCCGGCGCCGGACCCCATGGGCTGAAGGTAAACCCACCCAGGCAGGGAAGAACTCCCTGCTCCCTGAAGCTGCTAGCACCCCACTCGTCCATTCCGCCAACCGACCCGAACTAGTGAGGAGACTACCAGGAGAGTAAAGACCATCCAGAGTTGTGGACATTGAATTCCTGGCCCCCACACACCACTGCGTCACAAGAGGAGATAGAGAGACTCCACCTGCACCCACTAAAAGAAGATATGGGTAGAAGACAGAATAAGATTTCACTCAACAACAGAAAGGCCAATATGACACCACCCGAATCTAGGGCCTCCACTCCAACAGATCTGAAAAGCCCAACCAGAGCATGAAGATGAGATGGACCTCAAAAATTATTTCAGCAATTTGATAGAGACCTTTAAAGAGGAAACAAGAAAATCCCTTAAAGAAATAGAAGAAAAAGCAAACAAAAAATTACACGAAATGGAGGAAAAGAAAAACCAAAAAATTCAAGAAATAAATCTCTTAAAGAATCTAAAGAAACCCAAGAAAAAACAACCAAAGAAGTGAAGGAAGCTCTTGAAACAGTTCAAAGCATGAAAG